AGCCAATAAGTTCGCAACACGTCTTTGTTATTGGTATAAGATTGTGTTGTCAACTTTTTGGCTACTTTGGTGTCACGACACGAACTATTGAACGCTGACTGTACCTTTTCGTGTATAGTTGACGGTCAAGAACATTATCCTTATTTATATCAAAAGTGTTACGTATATCTTCATTGTCACCTCTTGATATTTAAAGAAGCCTCCGTGGTCTAATGCCCGTTTTCACCATCAATCCCTAATTTTTAAGTGACCCCTATGGTAACACATAACACGAATTTTGTTTTCAAAGGGGTCACTTAAAAATTAGGGATTGATGGTGAAAACGGGCATCGGACTTTTAGATATTGGCCTCTCTTGACTCGACTGAAAGGTTCTGGCTTAAAAAGTCCACTTACTTAGCTAATATCACAAAGGGCTGACAAAGGTGATTGAGTTTCTTCCGCCACTTCTTCTCAGCACCAGCCCATATGTTGTCCCTAAGTGGTGGTAGGGCAAGCAATTAGGGTCTTGTTTAAGCGCCCTGGAAAGGGTCTAAGCACTGAATTAAAGCTTTGACTTTGACTTTGACTTTGACTTTGTAGAGCCTAGTTTGATTAGAACACTGCAAGAATAAATCAACATCAGATTGTTTTAAAAGTGTGTTAACCAAATGCACGTTAAGTAATGCTCGTTATTTATCGTTCAAAATTACTTTAAAAAGCTTTGTACCTACATCTGAAAGGTTTTACTACATTCGCAGTTGATATATCATGGAAGATTAGGTAGGTATCCATGTTACAATCTTTCCACAATAAATTGGTAGAGCACGATCTCAAATCCTTGTCAACAATCGCAAACCCCATGTTTGATTTTTGATTGTCTTAACATTATACTTACACAAATGCAACTAATATGTAGTAGGTATTTCCCTACTGTTAGTGATAATCTACTCTACTGTCTAAGAAAATATTTACTAGAGTTAATAATAACCCATCCAAATACCTACTCGTAATACTTACTTTGACTCTACTTGAGTAGATAGTCTACTTATAATACTTCGCTGTAGATTAATTTTTGTTCCACCATTAAGTATATTGTGACTCCAATATTATAATATCCATTAATTTCCATTAAATTGTTTTCTTTTGGATTTCACTCAGCGATGACATTGTTACGTTTATCGTTATAATTGAACTCTTCAGTTCCACGAAAGGAACACACTGTTGGTGCTCAATTTACAGCTACTATTTACTCTGTAATAATATCCTAAAAATTCGTGGAAGGAAAAGTACTTGATGGAGATTAATGGAATTTAGCAACGTCCTAAATAAATATTTTGTATACCTACCAATTTTTGTAAGACACAAGACAGTTTATTAATACTTTAGCAGAATTACCTACACAAATGGCAAGTAAAACAAACGAATGCTATTTCCACTCTCACCCGTACAATCCGAGAACATAGAGACATAATTTTCCTTAATTAAAGCATCAATCAAACAATTTTGTTGACAAGAACGTATCATTGTGCGACTTCCCATCGATTTCCTATACAATAGGAACTGGCAAATTAGATCTGTTACACAACATTTCTTCGATAATTGATTGAATTAAACAATACGTTCGTATACCATCATCTTGCGCGTACGCATAAGAAACAGATGCGTTCTTGAACCGCTGTATAAAGGCAACGGATCTCAGGCGCATGATCAAATTCAATCTTGATATTGGACGAAGTGCACCGTGTTGTGATCTAAATAAAATGAACTATTTGGTGAGATCATTTTTCATGTTTTTATGTGGTTTAAGTGATTTATTTTTAGAATTATAGTTTGGTTCATTCTGTGATTTGAAATAAATAATGAGTTAATAGCATTTAACGGTAACTAAGTAGGCAGTGACTACAGTTAGTGTTAAAATCAGTGGTTTGTTTATTAATCGTATAGTAGTATGCGCTACATTTTTGTTACAATGGCAACTATTATAATAACAAGAGATTAGTACAGCGCTTCTTAGATAAATATTGTCGTTTACTCTATGCAGGCTATGTACCACGCCACTGCTGCTGCTAGATTTAAAACTTCGTGGAAAAGATACAATTTTATTTATTGTTAACACGTGTGCCTTTTAATCTCAAGAAACAAAAAAATTGAGATTAAAATGGCTAATTCATGAATAGCGTATTTTACGCGTAGTAAATAATCCAATTTGAGTGATCAGAATTATTCGGAATTAAATTAAGTGCGGTTTAAAAAGATTATCGTAATCCTTATTTTGGCAATTCTTTTTTTTTTCAGTTTTAACAGTTTCTTACCAGCGAGAAAATTAAATGCCTAAGTTTATTTACTATATTATCTACTATTTATAATATGTTCATAATTAACATGTGCTTTACATGTGTACCTAACGTATGAAATAAATGATAAGAAATAAAAGTGACGTATAAAACCTTTTCTAAATTAATTAATTTCAGTAAAACTCTGTTTACTTCTGTAAAAAGTAGGTGAATATATTACTAAGATATTTTGTGATTAAAATTTGACTAATCACAGACAAATAAGGATTAATTCTAATAGGTTTACATGATAAGTTTTTCTTTATCTTAGTAGGTACCTACGTTACTACCCAATACACTCAGGAAATGACTTAAATGTATTGATTTTTATTATTTGTTAAAACATAACAAGGAAGTTGTAAATCCGTGTGTGATAACGGTAATGGTTTTCACGTTCTTCAAGATAGAGATAATTTCAAATTTTGTTAGACAGTGTTTCTAACAAAACTCCTCCGAAAAAGGCTTGACCGATTTTGATGAAATTATGTGTGTCAGTACACAGTACGGCTAGCACGAAAAACTTTCGAGTTGAAATCGTTTGCGTACTCGAATCGCCACCAAAAGATTTATAGTAAGAAAACTACAACAGCGCCATTGTGAACGTGTCGTAAAGTGAACTTAGTATGAGATGTGGTTGCACGAAACTTATTTTGAGAATCAAAATTGTCACGTTATCGTTTAATTCGAAGATTAAATATCGAATTTTATCGAGTAAGAAAAAATTCGATACTCAACCTTAGAATTAAACGATAACGTGACAGACAACGTACCTACTATGGTACTAAATCTTTTGATGGGCGATTCGAATACGCAAACGATTCGAACTCGAAAGTTTTTCGTGCTAGCCGTACTGAACACTATAATCCGGGCCTTTTCAAGGCGAGAGTGATGGTGAGGTGAATAGGCACTTACAGGGCAGATATGTACCATCATAAACTGCATCTCACTTAACACCAGGTGCGATTGCGGTCAAATACCTGCCTTGTCTTGCTTAAAAAATAAAATAAATAAAAACTTACCTTTTTATGTTTGTTTCAGAACATAATTCTACTAGCATGCTCACTAGCAGCCACATCAGCTCAGAGGCTGACAGAGACAAGCACAGACGCCTCTGACAGCACCCGAAGAAGCGCGGGCGGGTACGGTTCACCCGGTTATGGGTCAGCCGGGTACGGTTCACCAGGATACAGCTCTGGCGGGTACGGTCTATTCCGACCCGGATATGGCGGTAACCCCAGCTGGACTGGTGGTTACGGCGGCTATGGGGGATACAATGGAGGTTACGGAGGAGCCGGTTACGGAGGATATCCTGGGCAATATCCTGGAGGTTTGTTTTGTTCCTTGTTTCGTAAATGTTTAAGGGGCAGTTTTATAACCCCACTTTAGAAATTAATCGCTTTGTCACTTTCAATCAAACCTAAATTTTGGCATGATAAAATAGCGTACTATAAATGATTTTCTTCTTTAAATAAGTTTATTACCTCAATAATAGTTTCTGATGCTATGTGTATTAAACTAAACGTATAACTGTCGGAGGGTTTGCCCACAAAATTCAAAATTCCTAGTATGGGTCTTTGGCTAATATTTTGCCGTTTTGTCCAGGCGGTTACGGTGGTTACCAAGGCGGATACCCAGGTTTTGGCCCGGGTAATATAGGCGGATACCCCGGTTACGGAGGTCTGTAATACAAATACTCCACCTTATTATCATCACTATTACTCTTATCTGGTTCAAATCAATTCCAAGCATAAAATTTATAACACTGCATAAATTAATTACACTGCATGATAATGACTCACTGACAGAATTAACATAAACGATTGTTATTATCACTTCATTATACTATGATAGTAATATTGATCAAAGATAGCTTTGACGTCATATGCAAATAGCAAGAATTAGCGATTACAATTCAACGTCATAAACCGTTTTCTTTTCAGGTTACCGTCCCAACTACAGACCCGGATACGACCGTCCGGGTGGTTACAATAACTACCCGGGTCAAGGTGGGTACCCGGGGTACAACCGACCCGGATATCCTGGGTACAACCCATACAGACCCGGGTACGACCGGCAGTACCCTAACAACCCCGGCAACTACTTCGGAGGGTACAATGATGGGTACAGCGACAACTTCAGGCTTTTAGGAAGGAAAGTGGGCGAAACCAAAAAGGAAGAGGAGGCTTAGTTAATTTTTAGTTGTAAAAACATGATCTGAGTTTTGTTGTTTGCACTGTTTTTATGAATAATATAATATTATTTTATTTTATTTTGGTTTTTTATTTTTGAAGAATGAACAGTGGTCAGTGCTCTTTTTTTTATTGGAACGTTCAAAACGTTTGTCATCGTGTCAAAAATGACTACGAAACATATCTGCTTGACTAGGCAATTCATTAGTCACTATTTATTTATAGTCCATTGTTTACTTTTATTAATACATAATGTTCTTGAGAGATTAAACAAAATGTTTGTCTTTATTGGTTAATTATGGTATAACATAAAATACCAATACACAATACAATTAAATGCATACAGATTGCTCTGAGTAAACATTTAACAAACGAACAAAAAGCACAGAACTTCCAATGACAGTTATAACTATTGAACCGAACCTAAGCTCAGTCAAGCATGCACCAAATTCTGTTACGAATACAACGAAGAGAAGAACACAAAAGAAACAAAGGTATTTAACATAATAGCATTTAATTTTTATGTATACTAATAGTGAATAAACATTATAATTGGAATTAAATTAAAATAAATAATTATTTGATTTATGATATTCATAATTAAATTTAAACAGGCACGACTTATTAGGTTATATCGCAAAAAGTCACCATCGAAAGTAGCCACAATCTGTAGTTTTCAAAATATTGCAATGTGTGCTTTAATAAAACACAATAAGGGTGATAACTGATACCCCTTTATCTTTAAGAAATTAATCTTCCATCTCGATTCCTAGACAAAATAACATTCGTTCGTCGAACTTTTTATTCAAAATTTCAATAAATTAATTATGTACGATAGCAGTTTAGACATGTTACGTGACTCACGCAACGCTATTACACGAAAGGAATGTGAATCATTATAAATTGACATTAACCATTTATGAAATCCCAAGAGACTTAGGCTGAGTTGCACCACCTAACTTTGACCGTAACTATGACGTTAACCGGTGTTTTTTGTATGTAGTTTGACAGATTTTTGACGTTTGTCAAAGTTGAAGTAAGATGGTGCAACCCTTCCATAACATACGTTCGACTTCTCAGTCAAACTTCTCAGTTTAGTCATCGTCTATCAAATTGTAATGAACTTAAGAAATGTAATTTTAAAACGAAATTACTTTGTCTATGGTCACTGAACAGTTTTAGAGTCTATGGATAATAATTATAATGATATGCACATTATACCATTAAATGTCAGACAGCTAGATTTTGACCTGAGTTGTTGTAGCACACTATTTAAGGACGAAGCACACTTATCAGCCCGAAATTGGATCGTAACCGCATCAACTCAAGGCGGTCAGTATAATTTGTGTATGAAACTCCGTACTGCAACGCTCGCACAGTCATGCTCCTTGCCTCGCCGCGAAAGGCGATACAGTGTTGATCCCTTTCCGGGTTGATAAGTGTGCTATGACCTTTAAGGACCTTACGAGCCACTGAACCAATCTGACGTCATCGAGTTNATGGAATTTATTCCTCTTTTTCTCTGTTTGCGCTACAAGCTTTCGAAATTCAGAATAAAAGCTTGTTTTTAAAAAAGTTTATTTTTATTATAATTTTATTTTACACTTTTTAGTTATATCTTAATCTCAGGACCCTGGACGTTATCTAACACTAAAGTGCTCGAAAAGACAAATCCAACGAACCCAAACTCGATGAGTTTCCGCCGTTTTGTTTAGGAGTTCCTATGGCCACCTCCCGACTCCATCATCAGACCAGCTCAATGGTACCATAATATTGCATTGTCATCGGACTTACACATGTATGCAAAATTTCAGCTCAATAGGAAACCGGGAAGTGGGTCAATTTTAAGTTGCAAGATTTGACGACAGACACCAGACATGTGAAAGTAATAAAAAGCTTGTAAATAAATAAATACAACAACTTTTAATTTAAGATAATACAATAATAAATGGTTTTTTAGATATTATATAGGTAAGTTATATTCCAGGAAGTAGGATGTTTTTACCTAGGTTTACATAATATTAGATTAAAGATTAATAATCAAGGAAGTGACATACGAGTATAACAAACATTTTCAATTTAGATATGACTGTAAAAGGGCCAGATATAGTTAATTAAATAATGTATTCTACGAAACATCTGTTTTCTTTTGCAGAACAAAGCAGATATTTGATTGCAATGCACACCTTCACCTGTCTGAGATGCAATCCAGGATTGTACTTACCTCTCAAGTGCCTATTCACTCTCGCCTTGAAGAGACCTGGATTATAGTATTCAATAGCTCCAGTCCCTAGCTGTTCTGGGGCAATTCAAACAACGGTTTGGGGACATCTGGTCATAGACCTACCTATCGCGTTTTACAGCGACTGATGCCGTAAAATCTCTTTATTATGTGCCGCGCCGCAGCGCGCGGAATTGACGCGTATGAACCATAATAGCCCTGATTATGATCCTATGGGAACACAAAGGGCTGTACTTTGTTAAACGATAGATTGTCAACTCTTCCACCATCTCCTGTACTTTTCTAGCACCTATGGAACAAGAGAGACAGGTAGCGTGGAGCATTTCGAAAAGGTTTGGATATGTTAGGCCCGAATAGAGACTTTTAGAAGACTTTAAAGTATACTCTCTAGGTTTGGAGGGTGCCGATAATAGTGTGTTAGCGAAAGTAACATTTTTATGTGAAAAGTAGGCGTTTTATGACCCTTATCTAATGGTTTCCGAAAAATGTTTAGTCTTTGAAAACTGTTTAATACTATATCTACAGGTTTTTAGTAGCTGTTATTATTAAGATTTTAAATGTATTTTTTATTGATTTATAACTTCTTTACCTCTGTAACAAGAAATTGTCATGAACTTGACAAAAAATACACGTCGTCGTCGTCGTCGTTTCAGCCGAAAGACGTCCACTGCTGGACAAAGGCCTTCCCTAAGGATTTCCACAAAGACCGGTCCTGCGCCGCTTGCATCCAGGTACTTCCCGCGACCTTCACCAGATCGTCGGTCCACCTAGTGGGAGGCCTGCCCACGCTACGTCTTCCAGCTCGTGGTCGCCACTCAAGAACTTTCCTGCCCCAGCGGCCATCAGCTCTTCGAGCTATGTGCCCCGCCCACATAATAATACACACTCACTATTAATTAGTCTACCAATATGTACCTAGATAGATTTTCGCAATAGAAAGTGATAACCGTGTTGCAATGATCACAAAATTACAATTTAAGAAAAATATTAGGGCCATAGAAAGGCGTTATTAATCGCTTGTCAAATTCTATTGGCGCAAACTATAACTTGACAAAGTAGGTATATGACAAGGTCTCGCACCCTCGGGAGTACGCACACAATACTGCATTGTTTACGATTGATCTAAATATGGATTATAAATGCACCAATTAGCATTAAGGTATTCAAAACCTTACACGGAAGCGGGCATTATCCTTGTCGGATTTGGTCGCAGGGGAGTTAGACAACACGTTTATAACCGCAGTACAGTCAGCGTCAAATACATTGGTCATCACTAAAATCGACCCTCACGCGACAAACACTTATCAAACGTATGCATCCCCACTTCCCAGGTTCCCACCAACATTGGTACCATTTGAAACCCTAGTTCTAAACTTCATTTCATTAAAGGTTTTTACCCCAAAAATGTGTCTTTAGTTAGAAGGATCCAGAGTCACTTCTTTAAAAAATAGGTAGTTACGCTTGAGCCAACTTTTATGGTTTTAATACTGTTAAGTTGAGATTAATCGCTATCCATCTGTTAAAGAGGACACGTGAGATCATTATTTGGTTTTATAACCATAAAAATTGGTCTAATTGATCCCAGAGGTGAGCCCAAAGTTAGGTATTTTTTCAAGTCATATTTATTGTAGTATTAAGAAATTAAATGTGTTTTTTTTTCTTTATGGATATTTATTGGGCTTTCAAATAACACCAATATTGTTGGGGCACCATGATTGTGTGAGTAGAAACGAGTTTTCCTGTAAAACGTAGGTGGGCCGATTTTTGTGTCATGACCATTGTAGTTCGTGACACCCAAAGTAGCCAATAAGTTCGCAACACATCTTTGTTATTGGGATAAGATTGTGTTGTCAACTTTTTGGCTACTTTGGTGTCACGACACGAACTATTGACGCTGACTGTACCTTTTCGTGTATAGTTGACGGTCAAGAACATTATCCTTATTTATATCAAAAGTGTTACGTATATCTTCATTGTCACCTCTTGATATTAAAAGAAGCCTCCGTGGTCTAGTGCCCGTTTTCACCATCAATCCCTAATTTTTAAGTGACCCCTATGGTAACACATAACAGGAATTTTGTTTTCAAAGGGGTCACTTAAAAATTAGGGATTGATGGTGAAAACGGGCATCGGACTTTTAGATATTGGCCTCTCTTGACTCGACTGAAAGGTTCTGGCTTAAAAAGTCCACTTACTTAGCTAATATCACAAAGGGCTGACAAAGGTGATTGAGTTTCTTCCGCCACTTCTTCTCAGCACCAGCCCATATGTTGTCCCTAAGTGGTGGTAGGGCAAGCTATTAGGGTCTTGTTTAAGCGCCCTGGAAAGGGTCTAAGTAATAAAAGTTTTGACTTTGTAGAGCCTAATTTTATTAGGACACTGCAGGAATAAATCAACAACAGATTGTTTTAAAAGTATGTTAACCAAATGCACGTTAAGTTATGCTCGTCAATTATCGTTCAAAATTACTTTAAAATCTTTGTACCTACATCTGAAAGGTTTTACTACATTCACAGTTGATATATCATGGAAGATTAGGTAGGTATGTTACAATCTATCCATAATAAATTGGTAGAGCACGATCTCAAATCCTTGTCAACAATCGCAAACCCCATGTTTGATTTATGATTGTCTTAACATTTTATACTTACACAAATGCAACTAATATGTACTTAGTAGGTATTTCCCTACTGTTAGTGATAATCTACTCTACTGTCTAAGAAAATATTTACCAGAGTTAATGAATAACCCATCCAAATAATCATAATACTTACTTTGACTCTACTTGAGTAGATAGTCTACTTAAAATACTTCGCTGTAGATTAATTTTTGTTCTACCATGATATTGTGACTCCAATATTATAATAATATCCATTAATTTCCATTAAATTGTTTTCTTTTGGATTTCACTCAGCGATGACATTGTTACGTTTATCGTTATAATTGAACTCTTCAGTTCCACGAAAGGAACACACTGTTGGTGCTCAATTTACAGCTACTATTTACTCTGTAATAATATCCTAAAAATTCGTGGAAGGAAAACTACTTGATGGAGATTAATGGAATTTAGCAACGTCCTAAATAAATATTTTGTATACAAATTTTTGTAAGACACAAGACTGTTTATTAAAACTTTAGCGGAATTACACAAATAGCAAAACAAACGAATGCTATTTCCACTCTCAGTACTCTCACCCATACAATCCGAGAACATAGAGACATAATTTTCCTTAATTAAAGCATCAATCAAACAATTTTGTTGACAAGAACGTATCATTGTGCGACTTCCCATCGATTTCCTATACAATAGGAACTGGCAAATTAGATCTGTTACACAACATTTCTTCGATAATTGATTGAATTACAATACGTTCGTATACCATCATCTTGCGCGTACGCATAAGAAACAGATGCGTTCTTGAACCGCTGTATAAAGGCAACGGATCTCAGGCGCATGATCAAATTCAATCTTGATATTGGACGAAGTGCACCGTGCTGTGATCTAAATAAAATGAACTATTTGGTGAGATCATTTTTCATATTTATATGTGGTTTAAGTGATTTATTTTACGGAATTAGTTTGGTTCATTCTGTGATTTCAAATAAGGAGTTGATAGCGTTTAACGGTAACTTAGTACCTAGGCAGTGCCTGCCGTTAGTGTTAAAATCAGTGGTTTGTTTATTAATCGTATAGTAGTACATTTTTGTTAGAATGGCACCTATTATAATAACAAGAGATTAGTGCAATGCTTAGATAAATATTGTACCGTCGTTTAAACTATGCGGGCCATAGGTTTTATTAAGTGCCTACCACACCACTGCTGCTGCTAGATTTAAAATCTCGTGGAAAAGATTTAATTTTATTTATTGTTAACACGTGTGCCTTTTAATCTCAAGATAGAAACAATAAATTTGAGATTAAAATGGCTAATTCATGAATAGCGCATTTTACGCGTAGTAAATAATCCAAATTGAGTGATTAGAATTATTCGGAATTAACATGTTAATATTAAGTGCGGTTTAAAAAGATTATCGTAATCCTAATTTTGGCAATTCTTTTTTTTTTAATTTTAACAGTTCCTTACCAGCGATAAAATTAAATGCCTAATGCCCGTTTTCACCATCAATCCCTAATTTTTAAGTGACCCCTTCGTAAACAAAATTCCTATTAGGTATGTGTTACCAAAGTGGTCACTTAATTTTTTAGGGATTGATGGTGAAAACGGGCATAAGTTTATCTAAGTACTACATTATCCACTACTAGCTTTCTGTCTGTATCCACTCAGCAATAATGTGGCTTACTATTTGTGAAATAATTTTTAAAATCGGTTCAGTAGATCCCGAGATTACCCCTTATAATTTAATAAATATACAAACACACAAACTTTACCTCTTTATAATAACCCTTATAATATTAGTACTTATAGATTTATAAATACTTAACTAACATGTGCTTTACATGTGTAAGTAGGTACCTAACGTATGAAATAAATGATAAGAAATAAAAGTGACGTATAAAACCTTTTCTAAATTAATTAATTTCAGTAAACCTGTTTATTAAAAAGTAGGTGAATATAATTACTAAGATTAAAGCACAAAATACTTATTTTGTGATTAAAGTTTGAGTAATCACAGACAAATAGGTAAAGATAAATTCTAATAGGTTTACATGATAAGTTTTTCTTTATCTTAGTAGGTACCTACGTTACATTAAGTAGGTATGTTCTACCCAATACACTCAGGAAATGACTTTAATGTATTGATTTGTATTATTTATTAAAACATAACAAGGAAGTTGTAAATCCCTGTGTGATAACGGTAATGGTTTTCACATTCTTCACTAAATGTTAATGTAATAAAATAAAATAATAAGATAGAGATTATCTATCTATCTATCTATAGCAGCCTTTGGGTTCCCCTTCGAACATAGATAAATAAATAAAGTAATAAAAATAAATAAATAAATAGGCCTCCTTTTCAACCCTCCACCGACTTCTGTCCCTGGCCACACGCATCCAGTTCACTCCAGCCTGCTGCCGGATGTCGTCTGTCCATCGTTTAGTTTAGGCAGTCTTCCCCTGCCGCGGGTGTTGTTGCGGGGTCTCCACTCCAGGGTCTTTCTGGCCCAGCGATCCTGGTTCATCCGTGCAATGTGCCCTGCCCATCTCCATTTACGGCTCTCAATCTCTTCCACCACGTCGCTGATCATCGTCTTTTCTCTGATCCACTCGTTCCTTTTGTGATCAAGATAGAGATAACAATTTCAAATTTTATTAGACAGTGGTTTTAACAAAACTCCTCCGAAAAAGGCTTGACCGATTTTGATGGAATTATGTGTGTACCTATATTCAGTAGGTTAGAGAATAGGACGTAAACGTACTTATTTTTCATACCCTTAGGTACAAAACAACTTTGCTGGGTCAGCTAGTTAGATAATAATAAACTTTATAATTAACCGGAGCCATCATCATCATCATTTCGACCAATGATACTATGGAGTTCTGGACGCCTTGCACTGTCAGCTATATTCTTTAGTCATCAATCCATAAGCAAGGGTTTTCCATTACGATTGGCAACACGCGGTTCTTAGGCCCGATTCGACCAAGCTTTTATCCGAGATTAACTCCTGGTATAACTGACACATTGACAGTTTCAGTATGGAAAATATGTAAAAACTGACGACTTATTCTGAGATTAATATTTAAGTAGTCTTGTTTGGTTCCACCCTTAGTAGTTTACTTACCTTTTACCGGCCCTGAAATTGTACATGACAGGAATTCGCTGCCTGCTACAGTCTTTCCTGAACACTACAATCCGGGCCTTTTCAAGGCGAGAGTACCTAAATGGGCACTTACAGGGCCGGCAGATATGTAGGTACCATCCTAGACTGCATCTCACTTAACAACAGGTGCGATTGCGGTGTAATAAGTAACTGCCTTGTCATGCATAAAAAATCTTACCTTTTTGTGTTTGTTTCAGAACATAATTCTACTAGCATGCTCACTAGCAGCCACATCAGCTCAGAGGCTGACAGAGACAAGCACAGATGCCTCTGACAGCACCCGACGAAGCGCGGGCGGGTATGGTTCACCCGGTTATGGGTCAGCCGGGTACGGTTCGCCAGGGTACACTAGCTCTGGCGGGTACGGTCTATTCCGACCCGGATATGGCGGTAACCCCAGCTGGACTGGTGGTTACGGCGGCTATGGGGGATACAATGGAGGTTACGGAGGAGCCGGTTACGGAGGATATCCTGGGCAATATCCTGGAGGTTTGTTTTGTTCCTTGTTTCGTAAATGTTTAGCTAGCACTTTAGCTAGTAAACGCTTTGTCACTTTCAATCAAACCTAGATTTTGGCATGATAAAATAGCGTACTTTAAATTATGTTCTTCTTTAGATACGTTTATCACCTCAATAATAGTTTCTGACGCTATGTGTATTCAACTAAACGTATAACTGTCGAAGGGTTTGCCCACAAAATTCAAAATTCCTAGTATGGGGTCTTTGGCTAACATTTTGCCGTTTTGTCCAGGCGGTTACGGTGGTTACCAAGGCGGATACCCAGGTTTTGGACCGGGTAATATAGGCGGATACCCCGGTTACGGAGGTCTGTAAACAAATGCTCCACCTTATTATCATCACTACTCTTATCTGGTTCAAATCAATTCCAGGCATAAAATTTAAATAACACTGCATAAATTAATTACACTGCATGATAATGACTCACTGACAGAATTAACATAAACGATTGTTATTATCACTTCATTTTACTGTGATAGTAATATTGATCAAAGATAGCTTTGACGTCATATTATTATGCAAATAGCAAGAAATAGCGATTAGGTACAAGTCAACGTCGTAAACCGTTTTCTTTTCAGGTTACCGCCCCAACTACAGACCCGGATACGACCGTCCGGGTGGTTACAATAACTACCCGGGTCAAGGTGGGTACCCGGGGTACAACCGACCCGGATATCCTGGGTACAACCCATACAGACCCGGGTACGACCGGCAGTACCCTAACAACCCCGGCAACTACTTCGGAGGGTACAACGATGGGTACAGCGACAACTTCAGGCTTTTAGGAAGGAAAGTGGGCGAAACCAAAAAGGAAGAGGAGGCTTAGTTAATTTTTAGTTGTGAAAACATGATCTGAGTTTTGTTGTTTGCACTGTTTTTATGAATAATAATTATAATGATATTTAATTTAATTTTGGTTTTTTATTTTTGAAGAATAAACAGTGGTCAATGCTCATACTTAAATGGGCTGTTGGAACGTTCAAAATGATTGTGATGGTGTCAAAAATGACTACGAAACATATCTTCTTGACTCTAGGAAATTGATTATGGTCACTATTTATTTACAGTCCATTGTTTACTTTTATTAATACATAATGTTCTTGAGAGATTAAACAAGAATGTTTGTCTTTATTGGTTAATTATGGTATAATATAAAATATCGATACACAATACAATTAAATGCATATAGATTGCTCTGAGTAAACATTTAACAAACGAACAAAAAGCATAGAACTTCCAATGACAGTATTAACTATTGAACCGAACCTAAGCTCAGTCAAGCATGCACCAAATTCTGTTATGCGAATACAACGAAGAGAAGAACACAAAAGAAACAAAGGTATTTAACATAATAGCATTTAATTATCATTTATATTAATAGTAAATAAAGATAATAATTATAATTTAATTAAAATAAATAATTATTTGATTAATTATATTCTTAATTAACTTGAAACAGGCACGACTTATTAGGTTATATCGCAAAGTCACCTTCGAAAGTAGCCACAATCTGTAGTTTTCAAAATATTGCAATGTGTGCACTAACAAAACAAAATAGGGGTGATACCCCTTTATCCTTAAGAGAAATTAATCTTCCATAGCGATTCCTAGACAAAATAACATTCGTTCGTCGAACTTTTTATTCAAAATTTCAATAAATTAATTATGTAGGTACGATAACAGCAGTTTAGACATGTTACGTGAGTCACGCAACGCTATTACACGAAAGGAATGTGATTCATTATAAATTGACATTAACCATTTATGAAATCCCAAGAGACTTAGGCTGAGTTGCACCACCTAATTAACCGTAACTATGACGTTAACCGGTGTTTTTTGTATGTAGTTTGACAGATTTTTGACGTTTGTCAAAGTTAAAGTAAGATGGTGCAACCCAGCCTTAGCATACGTGCGACTGAGAAGTTTAGTCATCGTCTATCAAATTGCAATGGCCTCAAGAAATGTAATTTTAAAACGAAATTACTTTGTCTATGGTCACTGGACAGTTTTAAAATCTATGGATATTACACCATTAAATGTCAGACAACAATATTTTGACCTGAGTTGTTGTAGCCCACACTATTTAAGGACGAAGCACACTTATCAGCCCGAAAACGGACCGTAACCGTATCAACTCAAGGCGGTCAGTATAATTTGTATGAAACTCCGTACTGCAACGTAAACGCCTTGCCTCGCCGCAAAAGGCGATACGGTGTTGATCCCTTTCCGGGTTGATAAGTGTGCTATGACCTTTAAGGACCTTACGAGCCACTGAACCAATCTGACGTCATCGAGTTGAAGAAGTCGGCCCCGGAGCGAGCGTTGACGAAGTTGATGGGCAGCGAACTAGGATTTGTTGGGGCTGGCCACTATGACCTTCTTTGTCTATGGACAATGGTCAGTTGTGTCTATGGACATTGTGCTTATGCTTACATTAACTGTCAGACAGCAGGATTATGACGTCAGTTGACACCACCTAAAGCCCGGTCCGTGAGCACGTAGAATTTTGTCCAATGACCCCAAGCTACCCATCTTTATCGCTCGCGCGTAATTATATTGCTGTCGCGACTGTGCGACGGGCGCCCGCAGTGTGCGAGCGCGACAGCAACATAATGAGGGCTATCGTTTTAGCGCTCACCAGTTAGCGCCACTGTAGAGTAAGGTCCTGTCACTTGCTAGTAGCGAAGACAGTGGCACCAACTGGTGAGCGCTAAAGTGGTATGAGGACTATCGCATTTGCACTCATCAAGATGGCGCCACTGTAGAGTAAGGTCCTGTCAATCGCCAGGGGTGCCAACTGTTAAGTATAAAAACGATAGCCCTCATTACGCGAGAGCGATAAGGATGGGTAGCTTGGGGTCATTGGACAAAATTCTACGTGCTCGCAGACCAGACTATACACTATTTAAGGACTATGAGCCACTGAACCAATCTGACGTCATCGAGTTGAAGAACGAAGCGGCCCCGGAGCGAGCGTTGGCGAAGTTGATGGGCAGCGAACTAGGATTTGTTGGGGCTGGCCGCTATGACCTTCTTTGTCTATGGACAATGGACAGTTGTGTCTATGGACATTGTGCCTATGCTTACATTAAATATCAGACACCAGGATTATGACGTCAGTTGACACCACCTAAAGCCCGGTCTGTGAGCACGTAGAATTTTGTCCAATGACCCCAAGCTACCCATCTTTATCGCTCGCGCGTAATTATATTGCTGTCGCGACTGTGCGACGGGCGCCCGCAGTGGGTGTGCGAGCGCGACAGCAACATAATTACGCGCGAGCGATAAGGATGGGTAGCTTGGGGTCATTGGACAAAATTCTACGTGCTCGCAGACCAGACTATACACTATTTAAGGACTACGAGCCACTGAACCAGTCTGACGTCGTCGAGTTGAAGAACGAAGCGGCCCCGGAGCGAGCGTTGGCGAAGTTGATGGGCAGCGAACTGGTCATCAGGTCGGATATGTCCGACCTGGATTTGTTGGGACTGGCCGCTATGACCTTCTTTGTCTATGGAAATGGACAGTTGTGTCTATGGACATCGTGCCTATGCTTACATTAAATGTCAGACAGCAGGATTATGACGTCAGTTGACACGCCTATACTATTTAAGGACTATGAGCCACTGAACCAATCTGACGTCATCGAGTTGAAGAACGAAGCGGCCCCGGAGCGAGCGTTGGCGAAATTGATGGGCAGCGAACTAGGATTTGTTGGGGCTGGCCGCTATAGCCTTCTTTATCTATGGACAATGGACAGTTGTGTCTATGGACAGTATGCCTATGATTACATTAAATGTCAGACACCAGGATTATGACGTCAGTTGACACTTCCACCTAAAGCCCGGTCTGTGAGCACGTAGAATTTTGTCCAATGACCCCAAGCTACCCATCCTTATCGCTCGCGCGTAATTATATTGCTGTCGCGACTGTGCGACGGGCGCCCGCAGTGAGTGTGCGAGCGTTACAGCAACATAATTACGCGCGAGCGATAAGGATGGGTAGCTTGGGGTCATTGGACAAAATTCTACGTGCTCGCAGACCAGACTATACACTATTTAAGGACTATGAGCCACTGAACCAATCTGACGTCATCGAGTTGAAGAACGAAGCGGCCCCGGAGCGAGCGTTGGCGAAGTTGATGGGCAGCGAGCTGGTCATAAGGTCGGATATTTCCGACCTGGATTTGTTGGGACTGGCCGCTATGACCTTCTTCTTTGTCTGTGAACAGGCAATATGATTAATTTATAATGAGAAAAATATCACAAAAAGTAATTCGCACATAGACTGAAAGCGCTATTATAACGCTCTTCCTGGAAAATATTCAATTTTGCTTATAATAGGGGCGAATTCGTAACAAATCAGTTTAGTTATGATGCAGTGATATTATGTAATTTTAACTCCCTTCTAGTATGTAAAAAATCTATACGATCTGAATGGACCAACATCGGAAGCTAAATTACAAGTAGGGGGATTTTTATACTGTTTTTTTTTTTTTCAATATAAGTAGTTAGTTACCCCGGGACTACTCAATCCTGATTCTTAATTAAATCCTACAGTTTACTCTTAATCTTATTAAGTAATATTTAATTAATTTCATTGATTACTAAAACTAATTTTAATTTTAGTAAGTAACTGTTAATGCTCATCACGAGTATATGGAGATGTAATGTGTGGTTAGTTCTAAAATCATTTTTTTTTTAAATTCAATGTGGTGTGTGACAACTACTTAGGAATTCAATTCATGATAAGCCAACTGATCTCTACACGAAGGTACATTACGTGAAACTGATAGATTCTTAAAATGTTTACTATCTTAAAAACTCAGTGAATTCTACTGGCAATAATACTCCGCATTTTTGGAGTTCCAGTGTTAAGGATTTTTGTTTATCAAAAAAATCTTAAATAAATAAATAAATAAATAAAAACCTGAAATTTTGTGAATTTGTCGTTTACGCATATCACAAAATACTGACAGGGTATCTAGATAAGTAGTAAACATTTCAAAATCAAATCCATTTTGCACCTCACTGCATTATTGTTATTAATAACTTCGTGGGGAAAACCATGCTTATCTTTCAGGAGAATTTTAGTTCAGTTAAATTAGGTGATGATTGCATTTATTAAGGCTGAGTTGGACCACGTAACTTTAACAGTAACTACAACGATAACCGGTGTTTTTTGTATGGAGTTTGACAGATTTGATTTTGACGTTTGTTAAAGTTAAAGTAATATGGTGCAACCCGGCCTAAGTATTAATACAACAAGCTCGTCATATCACACTGTCCATACCGTTCAAAGTGCGAAGAACGAATCTCGGTTCTAAACACAAAATATAAATTACAATTTAAATAAAATTCTACACTAACCAAATCAGTTCGTATTTTTCCCCTAGGCCAATATTAACAACAATACACTAAAGCATGATTTTTAAACATTATGTGACCTTTCAAGCTACTATAGCCTGACCAGGAACATAAAAACCCTGGCATAGAGGCGCGTCAATTGCATTTGATAGTGCAACACTGAGTACAGTCGTACCTGTGTTAAATTAATAGGCTAACTTTATGTATCAGGATTTAGAATTACGGGCTAATTTGATATTTTCATAAATTAACGAAAAAATATTATTATAGGTAACCTGGTTTAAATAAATTAAATGAAACTATCAATCGAGCTAGTAGGATTTATTTTATTATTCATCAATAATAAAATTCAGAACTTGAATATTCAACTGCAATGTCTGCTCATGAACGCTTCAAACTCGGTACTTCATTCCCAATTCCATAAAATTCTACACTTAGAAAGTGACAAAAAAAAATTAAAATAGGTACTTGAAACAAACCACAGCTAATTTTCATAGTGGACTGTACTATACGATAAACGTCAGTCAATTTGACAACCTTTGTCGGAAACAGTATTCAATGAAAATATTGTCCGAACCCTTAGTATTTCTCTTCGACAAATACTTTAATACATTGTGAACCACTTTTCTTTCACGACTATAAAAAGAGTTTAGCAATTTAATTCACAAAATCAATTGCGCACATTTAAAATAAAGTTTGTTTACACTTTGACAGCAATAGACTGACATGAAAGGTGACATGTGAATGAAGTTTTCAGTTACTGTTGCCATTAAAAGAAATTAGTACCATTAGTTTTCCGCAACATGGCGAGGGTTTTTATGTTCCTGGTCAGGCTATAATATAAAAAATTGAGTTTTCTAAAATAATGACTGATTTCCAATAACTTAGGCAAAATCATTTTTTTTTTGCTGTCACCTGACTTCCACTTCGAAGGAGTGATGGAAGGAAAATCCGCCAGATGGCAATACGTAGACGCGAGGTCCAAATGCTGCATGATTGGTTATTTTTGACATGACATTGACAGATATGTCAAAATCCACCAATGACGCAGCAGTCAGACCCCACATCCACGTCCCACCATCTAGCGGATCTTTCATTCGCGAAAACCCTCATTCCATTCAAATTCTTTGAATAAAAGTCGTTTTGACAGATCTAAAAAGTATGTCAACCGATTGACGTCGTCATACCTATTATAAATATAATAAATTATTCATACATACCGGTTTATCTTGCTTCTTATGCAAGCTGGGTGGTGTAGCGACCGGTAGCAGTGAGAACCAGTGGGAATCTCCTGAAGCAAGCAAACCGGCGGCTTTGTCTCCGCTGCCGCCGGACAGTACCGGTTTATTCCCGATAATACCGGTCAGCTGGCCGTGGTGGAGGATCAAACTGCCTAGGAGAGTCTGGAAAACAAAAAATGTCGGGAAAAGACTGAATGGTTTTGGTGATACAGAGGGCTTGTGAGTTTACTATGACATAAAATGACATAAAACTCAAAGGTGACTGACTGACTGAAACAACTGGCCGGATCGGGCTGAAATTTGGCATGCAGGTAGATGTTATGACGTAGGCATCCGCTAAAAAAGGATNCCGCAGTGAGTGTGCGAGCGCGACAGCAACATAATTACGCGCGAGCGATAAGGATGGGTAGCTTGGGGTCATTGGACAAAATTCTACGTGCTCGCAGACCAGACTATACACTATTTAAGGACTACGAGCCACTGAACCAATCTGACGTCATAGAGTTGAAGAACGAAGCGGCCCCGGAGCGAGCGTTGGCGAAGTTGATGGGCAGCGAACTGGTCATCAGGTCGGATATGTCCGACCTGGATTTGTTGGGACTGGCCGCTATGACTTTTTTCTTTGTCTGTGGACAGGCAATACACATAATTTATGATAAGAATAAATGTCACAAATAGTAATTCACACATTGATAAGTGCTATTAAAACACTCTTCCTGGAAAATGTTCAATTTTGCTTAATATATATCCTTGGAATTATATCGTTGTAATAGGGGCTGGTTTACAACAAAAACAGTTTATTTAGTCTGGTGTGCTGTCGTAAGTTCTTCCAACTCCTATGTAATAACACCAGTACGATATAAATGGACCAACATCGGGAGCTAAAAAGACGGGGATTTTCATGTGTTTTTTTAAGTCACTCGAGGTTGAAATGTATGTATGTAGTTACATATTTATCTCGGGACTACTTAACCTTCACTGGTAGGATTTTTATTCAGTTTACCATTGACTTGTATTGTTACACTAAAAATACTTATTTTATTTCATGGATGACTAAAACTAATTTTTAGTTGAATGCTCATCTCGAGTTTAAGGAGATGTAATGTGTGGTTAATTCTATTTTTTTAATAATGTGGTGTGTGACAATTACTAAGGAATTTAATTCATGAAAGCCAACTGATCTCTAGACTAAGATACATTACGTGAAACTTATAGACAGATTCTTAAAATGTTTTCAGAATCTGTCTATAAGGATTAAGGATTAATTTATCAAAAAAGCATGAAATTTTGCGAATTATCTCTTACGCAGATCCCAAAATACTGACGGTATCTCGATAGTAAACATTTCAGAATGAAATCCATTTTGCACCTCACTGCATTATTGTTATAATAACTTCGTGGGGAAAACCATGCTTATCTTTTAGGGGAATTTTAGTTCAGTTAAATTAGGTGATGAATGCATTTATTAAGGCTGAGTTGCGCCACCTTTAAGCGTAACAATAACCGGTGCTTTTTGTATGGAGTTTAACAGATTTTGACGTTTGTTAAAGTTAAAGTAATATGGTGCAACACAGCCTAAGTATTAATACAATAAGCTCGTCATATCACACTGTCCATACCGTTCAAAGTGCGAAGAACAAATCTCCGTTCTAAACACAAAATATAAATTATAATTATAAAATCCAATACTAACTAAATTGGAAATCAGTTCGTATTTTTTTCCTTAGCCCAAAATAACAAGACACGAAAGCAAGACACACATAAAAGTGTGATCTTTCAATTGTTTCATCAAGCTACTCTACTGATCTCAAAATAGATTTTTTAAATTAAATATATCTAATATCTATCTATGGTATACAAGTATAATATGGTTTTCAATAAGTAACATTATGTAATTTGTGTAAAAATAATGTCTCTTTTTAAATTTTCATTTTCATTCTATCAGCTTCAAAAAAGAGTGACGACATCGCAATCATCATCATCATCATCATTTCAGCCATAGGATGTCCACTGCTGAACATAGGCCTCCCCTAATGCTTTCCACGATGATCGATGACATCGCAATGCTTTCATCAAATTCTATGGATAAACTTCGTTTTGACAGCTCTTAAAAAGTATGTCAATCGTCTGACGTCATCAATTACGAATAAAAACATCCATACATACCGGTTTATCTTGCTTCTTATGCAAGCTAGGCGGTGTAGCGACCGGTAGCAGTGAGAACCAGTGGGAATCTCCTGAAGCAAGCAAACCGGCGGCTTTGTCTCCGCTGCCGCCGGACAATACCGGTTTGTTCCCGATAATACCGGTCAGCTGACCGTGGTGGAGGATCAAACTGCCTAGGAGAGTCTGGAAAGGAAAAAATGTCAGGAAAAGATTTAATGGTTTTGGAGATACAGAGGGCTTGTGAGTTTACTATGACATAAAACTCAAAGGTGACTGACTGACTGAAACAACTGGCCGGATCGGGCTGAAATTTGGCATGCAGGTAGATGTTATGACGTAGGCATCCGCTAAAAAAGGTGTTTATTTTTTCTCTAAGGGGGTAAAACGGGATCCACGCGTACGAAGACGCGGGCGGCCGCTAGTTAAATATATGACGGATTGTACAGCCCCCCTAGCAGATACTTTCAATAACTAAAATCTTCATAGATTTTTTTGACACTACGACTAATAAGCCCTCAGATCTCGGCAGTTGATCTTCATTATCATCATTTCAACCAGTGGCTAAGTCAACTTGAAAAGAATTTCAATTAAATAAAAATAAAACAATGATTCATATGCTTCACACAATAAGTCCCAATTTCGAATGGCACTAAATCAAGGAGTATCTTTGGGAAGGAAATCACACTGTATTTTAACTTAAAGTCATTATCTACACTGAATTAACTTTTATCTAACTAGTCTCATGCCCATTTTCATCATCAATCCCTAATTTTTAAGTGACCCCTATGTAAACAAAATTCTTGTTATTTGTTACCATAGGGGACACTTAAAAATTAGGGATTGATGGTGAAAACGGGCATTAAACATTGATAGCTGTAATCACTCACCTGAACTCTTTGCACCGATCTCTTCAAATTAGTTTGAATATACGGATAGAACACATCATAATCAAACGGATCGATCTTCTGTCTCAAAAATTCACATACTTCATGAGACAACTCCATAGATTTTTTATTCTCTCTAGGAACCAACAACAAAGTCATGTGCCTCACATCCATAAGCAATTGGAGCGCACATCTCTGATTTATATCTGCCTCTTTCTCACGTATAACTCGGTTGTAGTGTGCGAACGTGATAGTTGTCAGTTTTTCGATGAACAATGTGTGGATTTCTATAGGTAAGGTGTGTGGGACTACTTCGTCTAATATTCTGCTTATGGAGTAAAGATATTCTTGTAGTTTCAATGAAGGGCCAGCGGGCACTTTGATGGTAGACTCTATTGCATTCCCTTCGTCATCCTTCTCTTCTATCTTTATTACGTCCCATTGCTGGAAAGTTTTTAATTATTATTATACAGAAATATAACTATGAATGTTATATTAATATTATCAGTACGTGCATAAAATATTTGCACTGTCATCCACTGCATTTATAGCTGCTTTTACTCATAGTAAAGATAATCTTTTGAGCAGTAAACACAAGGTGGTCTTTATCTCAAATAAATAAAATAAATAAAGCGTCGGATATGTCTCAATTGGATCACAAGGGCTTAACACATGCTTTAGCATATTTAAGGGTTAAAAAGGCCTCGTAACCTAGGATACTAAAACTAAATTAACTACATAACACAGGTATAAATCTAAATATATAAAAGGAGAAACTGACTGACTCACTGACATATCAACGCACAGCCTAAACGGCTAAACGTAGGCACTTGAAATTTAGAAGGGACGTAGCTTAGGTATCGTAGAGGTGCACTAAGAAAGGAATTCCCGAAATTCCCACGGGAACGGGAACTAGCGGGAAAATCCTTTTGTATGAAAAATCTAAACCGCTTAAGTTAGACGCTTGAAATTTGGCATGCAGGTACCTTAGTAAACTTAAAGCTTAGTTACAACAGGATATTGCAAAATTCCCACGGGTACGGGAGTTAGCGGGAAAAAACATTTGTATGAAAAAATCTAAACCGCGTAAGATAGATGAAGGGGGTAAAACGGGATCCACGCGTACGAAGTCGCGGGCGGCCGCTAGTAAAAATATAAGTAAGGCGCGGTTTCCACCAAGGCGGAGCGGAGAAATGTTTTGAATAACCAATCAGATTTCATTCAATCTCAATGGAATCTGATTGGTTATTTAAAAAATGTATTTGCTCCGTTGCGTCTTGGTGGAAACCGGGCCTTAGACAGTATTCAATTTCTGCTTACCATCATCAAATAGTCGACATTGGCTTCCAGCGTAAACTCTTGGGGCAAACCTTTGGTCATTTCCTCTATTTTAGCTTCCACAATATCCACCCATTTGCCCCAACAATAGAGATAACTTTCCTTTAACATCGCACAAAGCTCATTCCACCTTTTAACAGCATTTTCGTCTACGCTTATAACTCCTAATGTGTTTTGTTCTTCAGGAATATAGCACTTGCGTAAGTTAGGCATAAGGGTTGGAATCGCTTGGGAGTAGCGGGCGGTGTATATGGCGGTAGTTTTTCTTTGGAGCTCAGTTGATTGGAGAGTTGGCTCTTCAAAACACGCCTTTATGTATTGAAGCATGCTGCAATTTGCAATATCAATAAGAATATGCGGTTTTGGCAAGCGATCTTACGAAACGATACTCAAAAATAGATTTTATATCGAAAGGGGCGACTATAAGGGACAAATATGCGAACATCAAGCCTCCCCAACCCATTTGGCTTTAATTAGTGTTTTTGTAGTGAAGACTAAGGCTGAGTTGCACCACCTAACTTTGACCGTAACTTTAACGATAACCGGTGTTTTTGTATGGAATTTGACAGATTTTTGACGTTTGTCAAAGTTAAAGTAAGATGGTGCAACCCAGCCTAAATGGCGTAATGTTAGTGACAATAGCCCAATGGTGTCGGTGTCAAATAAGATCCGAGGAGCGCGGATTCAAACCCCACCGCTGCTGAACTACTACCCGTTCGCGCTAAGTTTGCCGGTCCGTGGAATGCGCGTCCGCGATTAAACGCAATTAGTTAGTGATTAAACGCAATTAATGTGTCTTATTTTACGCAAATACACAATTTTTAACAATAAGTAGCTTTCCGTCCGCGGATTCGCCCGCGTGGAATTTCGTTTGTTAAATTTTCCTGAATTTTCTTTGCTATAAACCTCACGGAGCCCGAGACCTTTCCAACGAATGCAAAACCGTGGAAATCGGTTCGTGCGTTCTGGAGTTATAGCGTCAGGAAGGAAAACCCGACTTATTTTTATAAAGTAGATAATAAATAAAAATATTTTAAATATAGTTTGATAAAGTTATAGACGCTTCCCTTCGAGTGACGTCATATCGCCAGCGGCAAACTTAAAACGAACGGATAGTATTGTAGTGAACCCACTCACAATCATGAGCTTACCACAATTCTTTAAAAAAAAAGTTACCTAATGATGTTTTTTTAACACATACCTCTGAATATTCCTATCTGATATATCCCTCAAATACAACTCAATGTCTTCCTTGTCGCTGTATATCTGGTCCGACTCATCATCTTCTTCATAAGCAAAGAGTATCTTGTCTCTGGTCACAGAATTTCTTTTATCCCGACTCAAGTATACTTTTAAGTCTTCTAGAAGCTTGCAAAGCTCGCTGTCTAAAGCTTCGCAAAGCTTTTCTAGGGTTGGAGTGATGCCTTGGTCTTGGCGGGTCATTCCTGAAAAAGATGCAAGCTTAAGAACTGGTCTTTGTCAAATTAAATTGTCAATATTTAACTACTAAAGGCTTAAGCACTGTAGTTGCATGATCCGATTAATTTTTGTCTTGATTTACGCAATATACGCAATATGCGCATAGTTACAAAAATATGAGAAGTTCGTTCGTTTGTTCGTTCGTTTCAGCCAAATTAATGACGTCCACTTCTGGATAAAGGCCTCCTTCAAGGTTTTCCACAATGCACGAGAAGTATCAAAAAGAAATCATAGGGTCTGACCACAGAATAATAATAAGTACTACGTACAGAAGTTTTACTTCGCGAAGGTATTTAAAAAAATGTATGCTAATGTCATTAACAATATGGTGTAATTTAGCCTGTCTCAACAGTCAAGCACCATTTTGTTGACAAACGTCAGTGATCGGCACTGCGCCGAAGCTATAGGGCTGACTTCGGTAAAATGATGTGACGTGAGGTGCCAAACTGCGGAAAATGGCGGAGGAAATACATGATTCAGCATGAATTATCATGAATAATATTAACTACTTATTTACCTCTCAGTGTCTTGAGGCAACTTAAAAAAGTACATTCTGTGTTTTTATTATTATTTAGGCAGTTAAATACTGCACAGTATTTAGTACACCATTTTCTTTATTTTCTTCCATCATACACAAGAATACGCGTGCGTGAGTCAATGTTCGCTCGTATGTGAGGCCTTGTCGAATAGTATCCTGTAGGTGGGCCATCGTGCGTGTTTTGTTTTCGATGTAAACTCGCGGAGATGAACAGGCCTGGTCTGACGCAGAATGTGCACTTCACAAAATGTGCACTGCGCAAAATGCGGATTTTTCTATACAAATGTAAAGGCTGAAGAGTTTGTTTGTATAATATTAGTATGGAAAAGTGCGCATTTCGCGAAATGCTCATTTTTCGAAGTGCACATTCTGCGTCATCCCCCCACTTATGATGCAAAGTTTATATCCTATATGAACGTAATCACACAAATTATAAAAAGGTTACTTGTGTTTTTGGAATTAAGTTAGTCCAATATTTAACATACCTTTCATAAGTGACGTCATGACTTTGATGACGTCATTCCTGGACTCTATAACCGTCTCGCCGATGAGGTCTTTCCACACGAACCAGTTGATGTCCGCTTCTTTCTCCGTTTCGCTTTCTGAGGACACTTTGGTGAGGTCCACCAGTATTTGTGTCTTGAACTGATCGTAGACTTTGACCCAGCGGTTGTCTATGATTGCCTAAAATAATCGAAAGCGTTATTAAGGTATTATGTACTCTTTATAATACAACAAATAAAACTGATCATTTATGTGAAAGAAATACAAAAATTTTAACCGCACAATTTAGGCGGTTTTGTCGAAGTAAGTAGCTCAGTCTTTTTAAGACAACTCAGAGAAAGGACAGTTAAGGCAATACACAATGGATGCAGCATCAGGAAGCCCTAAACAAGTGGCATATTTTGATCGCTGCGAAAATTGAATCCCTTCATGGATCGAAGTAACTCCATACAAGAAACACTTTTCAAATTAAAAATTCTGTCAAGCTTTTCCACTTGTCTAGGGGGGCAAATCTGCCGATTCAAGAAGTCACTTCACTTTTTTAACCAATTAGTCAGAAACAACAATATATCGTTTTATCCACGAAGACGCGTCCTACCATTATTCCGCTAATGTTTGAGTGTTATCGGTACACGCTAAATCATCCATGAGTGCACACGCACACTACATTAATGACGCTTGGATTGCTCGGATATTCGATCCGCACGCTGCGCTTCCCTCGACCAAAAATTGGTGTGGCGCCTCTTCGTGAATAAAACGATCTATACATAGTTGTTTTTGACTTACAATGAAACCTTGACTCACCTTGACCCGTGCCGTCAGAAGAGGTTGGAAGTAGTGGCACCACACGTGGACTTCGGGAATGTCGAGGGATGTGCAGATGGCGCCCCAGTTTGACGGGGTTTCTGGAAAGACAATTAATTATTAAATTATATACATATAGAATATTGCACATTTTCATATTAAATAAAAAATATTTATTCGTCTCATTTCTTAGTTGGTCAATTATACTTTTATTTTTAAGCTTCGATTTTTCTCTTGTTATTTTATTGTTTTTACACATTTTCTCTTAAACGGTCCTTTGTTAACTAATATCAAAACATAGTAAAATTGGAGCTTGAACACCGAATTTAACGAAATCCTCAACATTCGAAGAAGATGAAAATATTCTATGAAATGATAAGAATATTAGTATTACCACAGAATAATAATAAGTACTACGTACAGTACCTCTAGTACGAAAAACTTTCGAGTTCGTTTCGTTTGCGTATTCAAAGTGTCATCGAAAAATTTTGTATGAAAAATTAAACAGCGCCCCCTATATTATAGCCGCCCTAGGGGGCGCTGTTTAGAGGTACTGTACTAGAGGTACAGAAGTTTTACTTCGCGAAGGTATTTAAAAAAATGTATGCTCAATATCATTAACAATATTTATGGTGTAATTTAGCCTGTCTCAAGAGTCAAGCACCATTATGTTGACAAACGTCAGTGATCGGCACTGCGCCGAAGCTATAGGGCTAACTTCGGTAAAATGATGTGACGTGAGGTGCCAAACTGCGGAAAATGGCGGAGGAAATTCATGATTTAGCATGAATTATCATGAATAATATTAACTACTTATTTACCTCTCAGTGTCTTGAGGCAACTTAAAAAAGTACATTCTGTGTTTTTATTATTATTTAGGCAGTTAAATACTGCACAGTATTTCGTACACCATTTTCTTTATTTTCTTCCATCATACACAAGAATACGCGTGCGTGAGTCAATGTTCGCTCGTATGTGAGGCCTTGTCGAATAGTATCCTGTAGGTGGGCCATCGTGCGTGTTTTGTTTTCGATGTAAACTCGCGGAGTTGAACAGGCCTGGTATTACCACAGACAATACTAACCAACTTTAAAAGCCTCTTCTCTAATCTCATGCAAGAACTTCACCCTCGTAATGTTTTGAAGCAACGCTTGAACACTCTCCTCGATGAATGACTTCACCCAAACGCCCCACTTTTGGACGCATTTCGTTATTTCTTCTTTGGCTAACCCTTGCACTTCCTTGTTGGACGACAGCCTAGTGACAAGGAAATAAGGTTGCTTATTGAACTGTTGATTTTATAAACGTTAAGAGGAAACTATTGCTTATAATATGTTAATGTAACTTGCTTTTCAAAAATTTTTTGTTTTAAACTACGATATTTCGAGCTAATTTTAATCAGCTTTGTATCCCATGAATTAAGGTTCTTATTTGCGCGCCCAAGTTGGCGCCACTGACGAGAAATCACCAACGCCTAATTGCGCAACACGATAAACTTTTATCGATTTTTTACGATATTTATTTTGTCGCCAAAATCGTCGATAAGACTTTATCATGCCGAACATGTCGAATAAGGTCCTATGTCTTGCCAGTGCCGTTAACTGGTGAGCGCAATAAGAAAACCCTCATTCTTATAATTTAGAGTTTTCACAATTCACAACTGTTTAAAATTACTTCTTACTTATTTTTTGTTAGCGTTTTACTAAAACGCTTTTAGATAAGTGAATAAAATGTATATTTACCTGTAGTTGTAAATAACAGGGGGTAGGAGTTTCAAGCCAACTGGATCACTAAAGCGAGCCAGTTCGACTAGAGGTTGCGAATCCTTTCTGAAAAGTTCTTTCAGTTGAACCAGCACTGCACCACCATCATTATCTATAGAAAATTATAAAGAAGTATCACATTTTTGCCTCCGTAGTACTTGTATTAGTAGAATCCTTTGCATAGTAGGATTTTTATGAAATTAATTCCTGAATGGCAGTAATGTCAATCAAGTTTTAGAGGCGTTTACATGCTGACAAACATAAAGAATAAAGCAGCCAAAGGCATGTAGGCTATTAATCAAACTGGAAACAGTCACAGAGAGTGATTTTTCCAATCTCTAAATGAGAATTGGACCCAAGACTACAAGATCCAACTCCCTAGCTTCTAATATTCAAAGAGTAACTTGCCCATAACAAATAACTTACCAACAAAACAAGCATACACCAAAACAACAGTTTTCAAAACGATTTTCACTCCGTTCACAATCTTTTCTCTTATTTGCGCCTTGACGTCTCCTTCCAAAATGTTGGCCAAGTCAAAGCGAAGGGTTGATTTGAGGCTGCTATGACTCTGAAGGCTGATTAAAGTGTTGAGGAGCTCCACCAAGGATTGTGAATCCAGGAGATATAAGCTGACGAGGCAGGAGCATGCCACCTGAAATAAATATAATCTAATTCGTAACATTGAATGATGATGACACACACAAACAATAGACTAGGGTGATTGCTATAGTAATAAGCCTATACATTGTTTGACAACCGGAAACGAAAAAAAAAAAAAAATTATTATTATATAGTTATTGGTATATTGGATTATTATTAAGTAAGAGACAAAAATATTTACTGCATTGGACTGCGTATTGCTAAGAAAAAATATTTGTCTCTTTTCCTCTCTTAATGACTTCCATTAGGCTTGTTTCTTTTTATTTTAGCAAGTTGGTCAATAACTATGTATTGGCTAATTACTATAGCGATCACCCTAGTTCCTCTCAGGTTGATAAAATATTAGTATGACAGGGACAGTAAATTGTATCACTCCTCAGAAAACGATCACTAAGTATTGGCATAACTAAGGTTACTTATCAGGGGGGCTTGGCCTCTATGCAATTAGTATCATAACTAATATCAATCATTATCGTCTTCAAATTAGTAGACCGACATCCTGGGGTGTGCACTAGACCATACTGTCACTAAGTTATAAAATTACTCCAAAAGAAAATATTTACCTCTACTCCAATGTCAACATCTTGCAACTTCTGCCTGCAAACGTCAATTATTGTCTGATTGAAATTGGATATCGAGTTCCAATGTTGTTGAACCAGCCGGTGCAGTGACTGCATGCCTGGCTTGATGTTCTTGCCGCCAATTTGTAGTTGTATACCTGAAGATAATTTTGATGATTTAGAAAAATGTAAACTATTGAACTTGCTGTTCAAACTTTCAAGTTTGAAATTATGTTATGTTAACATTTGAGGAAATACAGCCAATGCATCAAAAGCATAGCTTATTCATTAAAAAATGAGAAAATTGCTTTTTGTAAAGACTCAACTAACTTGGAAGATTCCAAAGAATCAAATGGACATCTTAAGAGAAGGAAGAAATGCTCATAAAAGCACAGAATACATAATAGTAGCAACAGAAATTGCACTCCTTTGTGTAGGATCAGATGCCGGCATTTTAACGGTAATAATAATAATGCAAAATATCCAACGCACATGGTGCATTCGAAATCGCACCTTACTACTACGCTCACAAGAGCGCAATTTTTTTGTGTTCAGAATTGATCTACCTCACAGCTCAAGCGTCAGGGTTGAAGCAAAGTAAAATAAATAAAAACTTAATTTTTTATTGTATTTACGATTGGTAAACTTTAATTTAGTGGTGTTTGTATAATCGTACCATCTCTAAAGTACCTATTAATAAACTTCAGTGTTGCGATAATTCGAAATTGGACAAACAGTTTTAAAAGGTGTAGTGTCGGAAAATAGACACGGTGAAGTAAAGTTAATGTTTTTATTAGCTAAAATAATTTTTTTGCTACAGTTTTTTGTCATAAGTATTTCAAAATTATTTTAAAAGTGTAGTTTTTTATAATTATTTAAATCACTACAGTTAATTATTACTCCTAAATATTACGTTTTTCCATTAAAGAAGAATAACAGTGCCGTTGAAACGATAAACCTTGATTGCGACGATGATACACCGAGCGTGTATAGAAATACGCGTGTGCTCACAGGCGCGTCACGGCGCGTGGCGGCCTTTACTGATTTGCAACTTGAAGTTGTCACGCGCTGTAGGTAATTATCTCGGCCGGCATAGGCGAGTGACGGAGGCCTGATAAAAGCCTTTAAACTGGCTTGTGATAGATATCTCTGCATTTAGTTATATTTAACTACAGCTAGCAAAAGCGCCGCATAAGCTGCCCCACGACGTCCACCAACAAGGTGGACTGAAAACCACATGAAGGTGGCAGGAAGGTACTGGATACAGACCGCTGCCAACCGGTCATCATGGTAGTCATTGGGGGAGGCCTATGTTCAGCAATTGACATCTTATGGCTGAAATGATGATGATGATGAAGTCACAATATTTTATACTTAATATCTAGAACCTTACCAGTATTTACATGCCTAGCCATTATGAACAGTTGTGTGGCTTTCACAAAATCCTCTGCTTCAATACAAGTCCATATTTTCTCAGGTATTTCCATCAGCAACTTTACTTGAACCGCTAAACTGTGAACTGAGTCTGTCTGGGAGAACTGAAAACTGGAAGAATTAAAAATAAGAGATCTCAATTAATTAATCTTGCTCCATTCTAATGGACTACTACTGCTGGCTATGATTTTCTAGATTTAAATCCAGAAGCTTAAGTAGCACTATTATTAAAATACAGAAATTGTTTTATAATATTTGTAACAGAGCCATTTCAATACATTTCCAGCATTCTTAATAATTTAGTACATAGAGGTCTCTTGAAATCAGCGTTGCCAGACGTCCCGATTTTGGCGGGACGTCCCGATTTTTAAATCAAATTTAAATGTCCCGCGCGGGACAGGCTCGGTCCCGCTTTTCCGAGAGAGACACTCACTTCATCAGACTATTGTTTGAAACGCCATATTATTTTAAAGTATAAAACTTTTTAAAAAAAAATATTTTTTTATTCTAAAGACGAATTTAACGATAGAGTAAATCTGATTTAAAATATATTTTTTTGTTAAAATACATTTTCTATGGCTACTTTTGCTATCTATTGTCAGGTAAACGTAATTTTAAGTCAAATAAAAAGATAAATACATGAAAACCTTTGCTTATATAGGTTTTTTTACTATGTCCCGCTTTTGACGGAAGAATCCCGCTATTTTCACTCAAAAAGTACCAAAGTCCCGACTTGGCGAAAAAAAAAACTGGCAACACTGCTTGAAATGCAATTTCAGTTGATTATTATAAGTCTTGAATTCCAATTCAAATAAAGAAAATCTGTTTCTACTTCATTCTTATACCAGACAGCACTGTAGAATGATGGAATACATTTTAAGATCATTTAAAAAGTTGTAAGTTTGTACCTTTGATGAGCAGCTTTATTTTCAATCTTGAATCCAACAAGATGTGTGTTGTGCAAATTCCTACATGCCGACATCATTTCACCAATGTGGTTGAGAGTACTGGCTGTAGTTANGTTATTGGTATATTGGATTATTATTAAGTAAGAGACAAAAATATTTACTGCATTGGACTGCGTATTGCTAAGAAAAAATATTTGTCTCTTTTCCTCTCTTAATGACTTCCATTAGGCTTGTTTCTTTTTATTTTAGCAAGTTGGTCAATAACTATGTATTGGCTAATTACTATAGCGATCACCCTAGTTCCTCTCAGGTTGATAAAATATTAGTATGACAGGGACAGTAAATTGTATCACTCCTCAGAAAACGATCACTAAGTATTGGCATAACTAAGGTTACTTATCAGGGGGGCTTGGCCTCTATGCAATTAGTATCATAACTAATATCAATCATTATCGTCTTCAAATTAGTAGACCGACATCCTGGGGTGTGCACTAGACCATACTGTCACTAAGTTATAAAATTACTCCAAAAGAAAATATTTACCTCTACTCCAATGTCAACATCTTGCAACTTCTGCCTGCAAACGTCAATTATTGTCTGATTGAAATTGGATATCGAGTTCCAATGTTGTTGAACCAGCCGGTGCAGTGACTGCATGCCTGGCTTGATGTTCTTGCCGCCAATTTGTAGTTGTATCCCTGAAGATAGTTAGTTGATTAAGGCCCGATTCAACCAAACTTTTATCCAAGAATAACTCCTGGTGTAACTGGCACATTGACAGTTCCACTGACAATTTATTCTTAGATAAATATTTACCCGTTTGATTGAATCCACCCTTATTAGTAAAAAGTAAACTATTGAACTTGCAGTACAAACTTCTAAGTTTGAATAATTTACATTATGTTACGTTTACACTTGAAAGGAAATACAGCTAATGTCTCAAAAGTTTCATTCTTTAAAAATGTAAAATAATGTTTTTTGTATAGACAACTAAACTTGGAAGACTCAAAACAATCATTTGAACATCTTTAGACAAGGAAGAAACCAGAGCATTACTCTTTCTCTCTCAAATGATTACTTATTATCTAGAACCTTACCAGTATTTACATGTCTAGCCATTATAAACAGTTGTGTGGCTTTGACAAAATCCTCTGCTTCAATACATGTCCATATCTTCTCAGGTATTTCCATCAGCAACTTTACTTGAACTGCTAAACTGTGAACTGAGTCTGTTTGCGAGAACTGGAAACTAGAAAAATTTAAATAGTAATATAGTATGCACCTAATTCCACACTAAGGGATCTCAAATTTTAATTAGATCTTGCCCTATATTAGACTTCTGCTGTAAACTATAGTTTTATTAAACCAGTAATGTAATCTGAGTTGAGTATTACCATATGATGTTATTTTAATAACCCTCCTTCTGATGCTGTCTGTCACAGAAAAACTTTATCGCGCGCGTCCCTGTTTCAAAAACCGGGATAAAAACTATCCTATGTTCTTTCCCAGGACTCAAACTATCTCTATGCCAAATTTCATCAAAATCGGTTGCGAGGTTTAAGCGGGAAAGCGTAACAGACAGACAGACAGACAGAGTTACTTTCGCATTTATAATATTAGTTGGGATAACAACTAGTTATAGATGATCATTATGACGAGATTAAATCCTAAGAATTCAAACAGAAAGTTTAAGTTTGGTTTTGTACCTTTGATGAGCAGCTTTATTTTCAATCTTGAATCCAACAAGATGTGTGTTGTGCAAATTCCTACATGCCGACATCATTTCACCAATGTGGTTGAGAGTACTGGCTGTAGTTACCTTCATTTCTTCTATTGTATCTGCTGCGTGGATTAGGTCTCGGTACCTTTCCCTAGAGAACAAAAATTAGGTACTTGAAATGTTTACAGGGAAAACTAAGGAATTAAACACTGTGTGAAGTATTTCTCAGCACATACCCGACCATAGCCCGTAGCTCTTCTCGTTTTCTCTCGATTTCATATTGTAATTTCTTCTGTACTTGATCAATGTCACTAATAAAATGAGTTTGAAATAGTTGCTCAGGCACAATATCTAGTAAGTTAGGTTGTGTCATGATTGTGACCACAATTTGAGCGCTACTTATCTTTAATGAAACAGCATCTGATAAATTCAATTAAAATCGCTTAAATTACTATTTTAGTGAATTAAATCTCTAAAAATTCACAATTTTAATAACAATCGCCAACTCTACAAAATTAGTAAACAAACGTCACTTCACGGAAAAAAAGTAACATGTCAAAGTTGACAAGTGTAGGGATGAGCAATGATGTTCGAGAGTTCACGATGATTCATAATAATATTTTGATTGACAAAATATTCATTAAAACTAAAACTCATTAAAACTCATTTATTTCTGTAAATAGGCTTAAAAAAAGCACTTTTACACTCCCAGTATTAACCCTACCACTGCTTCAGGACAATAAATGGGCCAGTGCTGAGAAGAAGCAGCGCAAGAAACTCAGTCACTATTGTCAGCCTCTTTTTCAAAGGTTTACATGCTTTAAAATGTACAAAGTTATAAATATTTATGCGAGCTAGGCAGTAACGTATCCCAAACATTTTTATCTTTTAAATAATCATCGACTTTATAGTAGCCCTTTTTCATTAAGGTACTTTTAATATGTGCTTTGAATTTATGAATGGGTAGTTCTACAACAGTTTGTGGTAATTTATTAAATAATTTAATACATTTTCCCATAAATGAATTACCAATCTTATGCAATCTGAAATTTGGAACGGCAAGTTTATTTTTGTTAGTGTCAGTTCGAATTTGTTTCAAAAAATTATTAACATGTCAAACAAGTCTAAGTGAGTTCTTGTTCAATATTAATTTGAGAAAATAATATAATTAAATCAATTTCATTTCATGTTACCTGTAAATCTTGAATAACCTTCTGTGACCTTTGCTATCTGCTATTACTTCCTTTTAAACAAAAATGATCCCGGGTATTTCGCCGAAACAGTAAATTTTCTGTGTCCAGGCAGGCGAACACATGTTTTTTTATATCTATCTGTATAAAAGTATTTTTATGGGAAAGTTCATCAAAAGTTTTATTTGTTTTTGCTATTACAATAGCAGAAACTACAAATAATACCGTAGAAAAACTTAATCAAAAGTCGTTTTTCTAATTTTCTTGTTATGTCCATTACTGTTGTTTGCCAAAATGAAGGCTCATTATAACAAATTGAAGCGTAATTTAATTCTTATTGATGTGCCGTTCCCGAGAACGCTCTCTCAGCTGAGAATATTCTCGGGAGCGTTCCCGGGAGCGTTCTCCTAAGTGAGAAAGGTTGAGAATCATGTTTATCAAATGGAAATAAACAAACTTTCTTAAGTAAAATAGTATTAAATTAAGTCAACAGATAAGTGTATATTAAACAATACACTCTATTTGCAGTGAAAGGCTATATTCTCAGTGTTCCCGAGAATATTCTCGGGAACTTTCTCGGCAATATTCTTGGCAACAGCAACTTTATTATATTTTATTTTTTTCGTCGTGAAATGTCGTTTTAATGATATGAAAGATGACAGAAATTTCTTTTTACACGTAATTAAATAATGTAACTGTCAATTTTTTCGTTAATAACACGCTCTTATTAGGTCGTCGTGTATGTAACTAACTATGTAATGGAATCTTAGAATCTGAATTACACGCACTTCTAAGTCTTGTATCATTATGAAACATGGCAATTACATGTAGATTAGAAATGACAATACAATATTGTGGTACCAGCTGGTCTGATGGGACTGGAAGGCGGCCAAAAGAAGTCCTAAACGAAACGGCAGAATCACATCGAGTTTGGGTTCATTGGATGTCTTTTCGAGATCTTTAAGTGCTAGATAATGTCCAGGGTCCTAATGATGGAGTCAGGAGGTAGCCATAGGAACTCCTAAAAGAAACGGCGGAAACTCATCGAGTTTGGGTTCGTTGGTTTTATCTTTTCGAGCACTTTAATGCTAGATGATGTCCAAGGTCCTGATGATTTTTGACTTTTTAGTGTAGTTAGTAAGCGTGTTTTTAGTTTTTAAACTATTCTTATTTGACATTAAGGGCATATTTCACAATCGCTTAGTAAGGGCCTGTTTCGCCACTTCTGGATAAGTTGTGGATAGCCTGTCTGACGGATCATTTGACACATTTTTATAGAAAATACGTGCTAGCTAGATTGATCCGACACTTAACGAATATATCCGGTACATTAGTCTACACGAGATTAGAATGGTTCTCAAACAGCTGAAAAACAACAAGGCACCGTAATCACGTCTGAGCTTCTGAAAGCAGGCGGAACGCCGGTACTAAAGGCCCTAAACCTTGTTGAAGAATTATAGACCCATTTCGCTTCTGAGCCATGTCTACAAGCTGTTTTCGATAGTCATTACGAATTGTCACGCTAGCAGGCTCGACGACTTTCAGCCCCCCGAATAAGCCGGTTTTCGAAAAGGCTTTAGTACCACATACCATAATAAATACGCTACGGCAGATTATACGGAAGATCAAGGAGTATAATCAGCCACTTTGCGTTTGTGAACTATGAGAAAGTCTTCGATTCGATTGAGACATGGGCAGTGCTTCAGTCTCTTCGACTGTGCCAAATTGACTATTGATACATTAAAGTGTTGAAAGGCTTGTACAAACACGCCACAGTGACAGTCCGTTTTAAGATCAGGACCCGAAACCTATCCAGTTGCAGAGAGGGGTGAGACAGGGAGACGTCATCACCACCGCCCTGGACGATGTTTTTAAGCTTCTGGGCTGAAGCAGATTCAGCATACATATCAACGGCGAGTACATAACCCAGACAGCAGACGATATCGTAGTCATGGCTGAGATCTTGAAAGATCTAGGCACAATGCTCGATGGTCTCAATAGAGTCTCTCAACAAGTGGGTCTCAAAATGAACATGGACAAGATTTAAAAATCATGTCTAAAAACCGTGTTGCACCCACTCCTCTAAAAGTTGGAGACTCTATACTCGAAGTTGTTGAATATAATGTGTACCTGGGGCAAACAGTCCAGTTAGGTAGGTCCAACTTCGAAAAAAAGGTCAATCATCGAATCCAGCTCGGCTGGGCAGCCTTCGGGAAGCTTCACGATATGTTCACGCGGCTTCTCCGTCGCGTCGCCTCTCCGCTTTAAATCCACTTTGAATCCGCTTTAAATCCACTTTGAATCCGCTTGCAATCCGCCAGGGTGGCAAGGGCCTTAAAACTCAGAGGCACACTGATGTTCAAATACCCCAGCCAAGTCCTAAAGCCGCGGCACGCGTTCGCCACGAAAAGAGTGAGCAAGACTGCAATATCTCACTCACATGTTTTATGCCTTGTTTATAACGACTAGTCTTAACGCCCAGTTAATAAAACATCGAAACATTACAAATAATATCACATATAAACAACAAAATTTAAATTAAAACTAAATGTATTCTGTCGAGAACACTGAGAATATTCCCGGGAGCATTCTCGGTTCTCGAGAATATTCTCACTGGGAATATTGCCGGGAACGAGAACTTTCTCAGCGGCACATCTCTAGTTGCCACATGGTACCGATTCCCCAGGAATTGGGATTGTAATTCCCTGATTCGCCAACACATTAAACCTAAACGGCCAACAATTTTGTGATTTTTAATTCAACTAGGTAATCGTAGTTCAAATATTTAATTATTTATTTGTTTAACTTATGATTTGGTTAGTGAATTGGCTATTTCGAAGAATTTACTAGGATATTTAAATCAGGAGATAGCAATACTACAGTTCACACTAAAAAGAGAGGTAGAGCCACAGAGAGCGAGATAGATATAAGTAGGTATTTGACTTAAGTTTTTGTTCCAAGTTTGCCCTCCATTTTTATCTTTAGCTTCATGGTTCTGCTACGCGCCGCTCGGATCCAGGCACCTCCCGCGACATTTATTTTTTTTAATGTCTACTTTTAAGTTATGATAAGATACTTTTGATTTCTTCATTTAGGACAAATTAAACATGAAATCTATACTAATATTATAAATGCAAAAGTAACTGTCTGTCTGTCTTGCTATCACTACCTACTACCTAAACCACTGAACTGATTTTGATGAAATTTGGCATATTTATTTACATAGTTTTTATCCCGGTTTTTGAAACAAGGACGCGCGCGATAGTGTTTCTGTGACAGAGTAAATATATTCTTTGATCAAAATTCTCACGCGGGCGAAGCCGCGGGTAGAAAGCTAGTAACCCATATAAAATTCTGATGTGTTTAGCTGAGCGGTGCGATTTATTCGAACCGTCCTCTTTCTGTGCCTGTAAAACATGAAGCTACAGATAAAATTAGCTTCATGCTGTAAAATGAGTGTGCTATGATTTTTTTTTATTTGAGGTGGTGTATG